ATGGCTACCTCTAAGATTTTACAGGACATATGTTTATAGTATTAATACCGTTATTATTAGTAGTAGTACGTTAGGTTACTTTATTTGTACCCGCAGGTAGAAAAAAAGAGGAAGCATCCATTCAAACACAATTCAAAATTATAAACACACTGACAGAAAACAAGATCACAAAACACCATAATAAAAAGTGCTCAAATGCTTCGCTATAGATAGAAAATTGGAAAAGGTCAAATGTAGCTATAACCTGTTCAAGTGAACAATTGTAGTGAGTATACCAGCAATTTGTTGGTACTTTCCATTGCAGATGGTCATGTGTATGTGTATATTTTACATTTATTTTTGTTTCTCTTTGTTTTTGTTGTTAACTATCCTAAACTTTTCCACAAAATGCCTGTCACAGTCTGAATTTTAGTCGCAGGATTTTCTACTTGAAAACTGTAGTTTCACACTAAATTGAAATTTTACTTCAGTGTATTATCTGTGTACTTTTTCCCACACTGGTATTTGGCCTTAGTAAAAGTTTACAGTTTAGATTTTCTGTTCTTTTAAAGATAATTATACTTGACGATCACCAGACATTACAAATAACTTCAGTGCACGTATTAGTATCAACCTTGAAAAGTGCATATGAAGCCAACCTTGGTGGGATGTTTGGTTTCGGGAGGAGAAGCCAGGAGGAGAAGCTACGGGTTTGGCAGCATGAATAACACCTGTGACTTTGATATGACTCTGACCATGAGGTACAGTCAGCCTTCCTGTTAGCTGCTGCTGTGAGGAGTGAGACGAGTTTAAAAGGGCCTTACGGAGATCAGGCAGAGTCCTTCGTCTGGTTGCAAAAAAGTCCTGGGAAATTTTGAAATCAACTGAAACTGATGAATGAAGTAATCGAGAGTCGATACAAGGAATATCTACATCATTTCATCATTTCAGGAAATACAGGAAGTGAAGACGTTGAGTTTCGAGCGACTCTTGTACATTGTAGGTGATGTAATATTAATATTTAAGCAGCTGTCTGTCTGTCTTTAAATTTTATTTTGGGTTTAATTCTTTTATAAAAATCTGTTAGAAGCATTAGCATCAGACATCAATCTCCACATGACTACTGACTCGTTTCCACAGGAGGAAATCCCAGAATTAGTTTTACTCAAGTCATCTTTAAAATGGAAAATGTTTGTATTTATCTAGAGGTTTTCTGGGTGTGATTACCACTAAAAGCTCTTTACACACATATTCATACAGTGCATCTATGTGCAGCACTTTTTCGATGAAAAGGGAATATTTGGGGGTTCAGTATCTTGCCCAAGGACACTTCGGGCATGGAGGCTGGGGATTGAGCTGCTGGCCTTCTGGTTGGAGGACGACCGCTCTACCCCTCAGCCACAACCGCTCAGTTTGTAACTATTACAAACATTAAGCTTGTCAGGCATGGAGAATGGGGACCACTGGGATTGAACCGCCGATCCTCTGGTTAGAGGACCACACTATTCCCTCAGCTGCTCGTTTTACTACAGAGAATTACATAGAGTTATTCTTTTATTGCCTTAATATTCTTTCAGTCGCAAAAGAGTTTTCTGCCCCAAAGCATTTTATGGTTGAATTACAAAATAATCATCCTTTCTTCTTTAAAAAAAACCCACTGAGACAATTCAGTGATTAACAGAACGTTTCCAGATTGATATCATGGGGATCGATGAATCAATTAATCGACAAATTGTTTCTGTTCCACATGCAGCAATTATTATCTGCAAAATGCTGACATGCCAGTTAACATGTAAATATGCTGAAGTCGTCTCTATGAATACGCTCTTGGGTAGATGTTCTTCCATTTAAGTGAAGAGTTGTTTAAATAATGTGCAAATTGATATGACATACTGCATCAGTGAGATAATGAGGACACCAACAAAATTAGAATTACAATTGAATACAAGTCTGTTCAAAGGAAGTACAATAAGAGGATGTATTTATGTGTGTTGTTGTACATGCTGCACACAGTATGCATCATGAACAATTCTGTAACTCTAATGAGGTGGAACGGAGAAGGAAGAAAAGGGCTTAGCTGGATGTTAGTTTGTGTACATACTCACAGATTCAGACAAAAACGATATCTACAAATGAATAAATGAAAATTAAATCACAGCAGTTCAGTTTAATCCTTTATGATGTTTCCACTTATCTTTTATTGTGAACTAGTGACTGCACTCTGCTGTTTTTATTAGGCTTCTTTCAATTTATGCTGGGTAATTGTTTTGATGTTTTTATCTGCTTTGTTTCCATTATTTCTTATCATCACAGAAATGTGGCTTTTTGGTAAATACCTTAGCCAGATTTAAAGCTGCACTGTTCAATATGTTCATAATAGAACCAAAGTGACTATAAAGCGAACAGAGTGTAGTGATGAACCCACAGAAAACGATTGCACAACTGTCCAAAGGTAATCGCTAGCTTGTCAGGAACAGGAACATCTAGTGGTGGAGTTGCATGTTGCAGCTGAAT